GTCTGTATTTCATATAGGTACCTACCATCGCGATCCTCAAATTCAATAATATTAATAATCGATTTCGGTGGTTAACATTGTTCATTAACGTTTCTGTTTGCCAATACATCAAACATATTACAATGTTTTGCTTTTAACTATATGTAGAAATACATTTGGATATCTATTAGTAGTTTAAACCACAAAAAATATAAGATTCGATTAGTAACTCTTCGACGTTTTAAAGATCGACGTACCTGCTAACGATCAAGGTAAAAATGTAAAATTACTCGACGGCGAAGAAAATGAACCGTCGTTAACCGATGCACATAAATGTGGTCAGTCGGTTTTCAGTCGAGAAACAAGAACACGAAAATCATCTCGTCAACAAAAATAATAAAAACAATGTACGCTCGGTGCATTTGATGAAATATTATGTCGAACGCAGTTAAAAAAAATCAACCACTCGTGAGCATTGTGTACCTACTGCGACTCGATCGTCATTCGACGTCATCGTTTGCAAAGGCTCTGCAGGATACGTCTATTCACTGCATACAGTGCGCACATACAACTCCGCGACGTGGCGTAGCATCAGGTGTTCGGGATTATTAAAATAATTATATTAAAAGTTATCTGTGCAAATATTACGGGAAGAAGTCGCGTAATAATGTATGAGTGGTGAAATGGTGGTGGTGGCTGTGCGGCGGCAGTAGAACGCGTGCTGCGGCGGATACCTATACACACAATATAATGTGTAGGTACATTGTACGTGGGTAAAAACGACGACGTAAATGGTATTAGTACACCGCTGCTACCGCTGCAGCCCGGAATTATTATTATAATATACGTATTATAATGCGCGTATATGCGTAGGTGTTTGTACATTGTCCTTGTACGGTTGTAAAAATAACGCGAACAACGTTATTATTAAAGAAAAATATCATTATGCGAAATGTAGTTATAAATCGACGGTGAAAAAGAATATCTGAAGTCGTATGAAAGCATAAACATGCCCGGGATGACAATCGGATAGCGTATTGTGTCGTCCGCTCGTTATGAATATGCCAGATAAATAATTATTAATATGTAAATATTATGTTATTACTAGGCAGCTAGTATAGCTGTCCCCGTACAAAATGTTCTGTGTTAAATTTTGTTGTCTAATACCATTCATTTAGTGAAACACGTGTGGATTAACAATAATTTTGGTTTTCTATAATTTGTTGTATAAATTACGTATATATATATATATATTTCCGACTTATGGACTTTACATAAATTCATTTAAATACTAACTTTTAATTATTATAATTAATAACAGTTTTTTCATCCGCGTCACCAAAGCAATAGATTACAGATAAGTCACAAATCAACAAAAAAAAAAAAAAAAATTGTTTTTATAATAAGCTGAATAATTGCCCGGCGTTGCCCGTGAAAAAACCGTGAGCTCAATTCCTTTTTGATATATACCTCAATATGAGAGCAAAGCCTTTTTAAATATTTTAATTATTTTCTTTTCTATAAAACCAAAAGATGCTGAAAAAAATACCAAACAGAGAAAATTATATTTATTGAGGCTACATATTATTATGTTGAGTGCGATGTTGAATGGGCGGCTTTGATCAAATATAAAATACGGGTCTAAAACGTATCCAATTATAATAAATATTTTATTTTCCGGTAACTGGAGGCTACCCTTAAACCAAATAATAATCATTTTTCGTGAACCAACAAATCCCTGTATTAGCCCCTTTTTAAAATGCGAATTTTGCAAAATCCTTTCTTAGATGACCTCTCCTACCTGCCAAATTTCAGCTACGTGCGACGACGATATTAATTAACATCACATATCAATCACTTTATCCGTTCGGGTAGCCGTTGACCGTTGTACGTTGTTGCATAATGCATAATTTGTAAATCTTAACACATCACAATTATTTTACGGGCAACACCGGTCGCCGGGTAATTCAGCATTTGTAAATAACTACGTTTTCATTTAAAATTGCACACAGGCGAAGCCGGGTAATTCTGCTAGTCTATATATATACATATATATATATATATATATATATATAAATGATAGGTCATTCATTAGCTCACTGATTAAACATATTGTATTGAAGCGCACCCGTCCGCGTGTAGCAATATGCAGCGCAGCGGAGCGTGGGAGCGCATATCGTTATAAATAATGCATCGATAGACGATAAACATTTTTATCCATGTTATGTTTCGTATTAAATTATATTTATTTTACATTTTAAAACAAAACAACTCATCTTTATGTCTCTAGTAGCAAAAGCATAGGTACATTATATAAACTAACGTACAATAATTTATAATCTTTTAGATCCTGTCACAAAATCCGTTTTTAGCTGACGTCTCCTTCCTATGAACAGCATAAAATACCTGCCTGCCAAATTCCAGCTTCACAAGTCAAGTAATGATACATAATATTTGTAATCAGTGGCGCAACTTGACAATAAGGGGCCCATGTGAAAATTTCTGGATCGGGGCCCTTACCTAATAATAAAAATGAAAAACAGTCATACCTTGTTACCTTTTAATATATTTTTTTTAAATATCGTTTTCTTGTATACAATAGTTAATATAATTTATTATAATTAATGTATTTAATATTATTAGTTATTTTTTTTTATATATATAAGAATATAGTAAGAATATCGTATATGAGATTTTTAATCTAGGGGCCCCTCAAGACCCGGGGCTCTTGTAAATTTCACACCCAACACTCTCGGTAATTGCGCCACTGTTTGTAATTGACTTACGGTTTCACTCACTGATATTGACTGGTTTAAAAGTTAAACAGTTATTTGCAGTACTTGTCTTTTTTTAACGTCGCTGAAGTTGATTTTAAGATCCTAGTAGTTGAGTGGTTTAAAGGGAACTCCATACATCCGAATAAAAAATAAATAAACGTTACTTTCCTAATTATTTTACAACAAACTACAATGTTTTATAAGCTTACTGAATCTTTTTTGAATACGACTGAATCACATAGAAAAGTTTAACATAGTGTAATAGTTATTATTTTTTCCATTTATCGAATTAAAAAATATGTTTTTTTGTGATTTCATAAACATTATAGTTTGATGTGATAAAAATATTGTTTTATATTACCTTGATTGTAATTTGCAAGTCAGTATATTATGTGTAGGTATATTAAGAATTTTTTTTTATCATTTAAATTTTACAGAGTTTAATTAAAAACAATTAAAATGTTATTGATTAATTTTAAAATCTGAGTACTGATGTTTAACTATCAACTATTAAATACTAACTGATAATTTAAGTAACCTTGATTTTTAAAAACATTTTACTTGAGCAAAGATACATTTTGTGCATTGTCAGTATTAATAACTAAATATTATAATTTAATATTTTTTAGACAAAAAAATTATCAATATTTGATTTGATTTGATTTTTTCCTAAATTATTTACTTTCATAAAAAAAGCGATATTATTTTTATACACCATTTAATTACATTATCACAGTAATTATTATATAAACCAAATTTTTTTTTTCTAAATTCAAATTCTATAGGAATTACATATTATATAATCATTAACCTTTTTTTTTTTTTTGGCAATTATTACAACCATTAATAAAAAATAATTGTATATTATCCATATCATTGAAATAAACAATATTAGGTACAAACAAACATTATATAGTTTATGATATGCCCATTTACTATGTATTATACCAACATATAATATTTTTTTGCAAAATTAACAAGGTTTTACACAAACTTTATTTTGTATTGTGAAGAATATTTATTTTGATATTTTAAATCTTAAACCATATGTTATAGACAATCACATACAATTTCTTTTTTAAATAGTTAAAATATTATATTAATAAGAAAAATTTAAAAAAAATTATAAATACTAAATAGTATTTTATCAGTGTATTATTTTATTTAAGATATCTTAAATATTACCAATTCTTTTGATGTAATTTTCTTAATGCATAATACAAATATGTGTAAAAGAAAGAATCTTATATCATAATTAATTTTTCTTAGATACTTCCTGTTCATCTTCAACAAGGCTATGTCCTTTTTCACGCATCCATTCGTCTTGAACAAACTTGGACATATAATTTCGTATACCGTCAGGCAATATTACCACTAGTCTTTGACCTTTTTTCATAGTCTTGGCTACCTGAAGAGCAACATACATAGCTGAGCCACTACTTCCGCCTATATCAAATAAAATAGTAAGCTATTAACTCATTATAGTATTTATGGGTATTTTTATTTTTTTAATATAAATAATATTTACCACACAACAATCCTTCTTCGCGTGCCAATCTTCTAGCCATGGGAAAAGAGTTTTTATCATCAGTCTTGATCCATTCATCTACAACTGATCTATCTGTAACAAAAATTGTATAAAACTAATTAATTACTATGACTAGACATAAAATACATATACATGGCTATGCCTGAGCATTCCATGAAGAGCCAGCATAATCTTTAATGGTTAGTTATTTTAATTATTAATTATTTTTAAGCTGTTTGGTCAATAGATTATTTCAGTCTATTTTATAAAAATCAATCAGTAAATTAATTTTATAACAAAATTCATCACTGTTAAAAATAGTGAGTTATTACTACTATTTATTTTAATATAAATTCTTTCAAGCAATAATTCTTAAGGAATACTTTGATAAAAATATGAAATATGTTATTCATAAATTACAATATTTATAATTATGTTAAAATCTTTAATATTTTGGTTTATATTAATTGTATATTACGGAAAATGGTTTGGTAGCAAACGAATGCATGTCTATCCAAAATATTGAATGAAAGAAAATTATTTACAAAGTACTTAAATTAAAACATAATATTTTATCAGTCGTATAATCGATATAACTTTTTCTATTAAAATATGCTATTAGATAGACACTGCATTGCAACTTTCAAATTATCAATAAATCATTTGATACAATTATTATTATATAACTTAAACTACCTGCATAACACAGCAGGTATCTGTTGTACCTCAATAATCTATACACTGTGTTTAATACTAACGGCACTTGTTAGCACAAACAAATTGTGCCAGTATTCTATTTTTTTTTTACATTTTTATCGTTGTTGTCTTTCATACTAAGGTACATTATAAATTAAACATTATTTTATAATTAAAAACATGAAGATGGGGTAAAACATCTGTATCCCACGAATCGTCACTGGTGATATGATTATTATATTAATATAAAAAAATATTATAGATACTTTTTTTATGTATAAACACTGAATTTAAAACAGGTACAATGACTTAATTATAAAGACATTTCAAGAGTTACTTCCCGTATCTTTTTTTGATTCTAAACATAATTTTTTTTTACATTAAGGTTCCAAACATTACAGTAGTTTAATTAATATAAAATAAAGCTTACTTATTAAAACTTTAAGAACTTTAAAAACTTACTTATTAAGTGTGATAAAATAAAGTCGATTAAATTATAATTTAATAAATCATGAGGATTGAATAACCATTAAAACTAGGAAACATTAGTGATATTAAGACTTAGTTAGAAATCTCTACAGCTCTAACAATATTCCTTTAAATAAGTCGATAAGCAAACATTGTATTATAGCCATAATATACGTCACAAATTGTATTTATCTATTATGCTATTATTGTGGTTTGTTTTTCTCCAGGTCCTAGGATAACTATGTATTTTTATAACTCAGATAAAATATTTAAGAATATAATCACTAGTAGCTCTTCTAAAAAGTCTTTTCTCAACCTAAATCTAGTGAAAACAAAATTCCAAAAAAAGGATGTAACAAAAGAGATTGAATATAATGATAATTTTTACAAAGCAAGAATTAATATCCCAGATAAATCTTGAAGTATTACTATGTTTAAAAATTTACATACACTTTCCAAAGAATTTAAAAGTTAAAACTATTTTTACATGTATGTGTTAACATTTTTTTAAATGTAAAAAAAATGTTAGTAAAAATTATGATTCACACTGCTGAAAAAAGTTATTTTACAATATGTTATGGAAAAATTATTTTTTTTAAACTATTGAGCTATTTAATAAAATAATAGAATTCATCACAAAATAAGTTTGTAGCATATTTATGTTAGTTAAAATATCAACCATTATTTAATAATAAATAATTATTACCCAACACTGTTGGCACAAAATCATAACCAATGCCTTCAACATCATATACTTGTATATCTGTTTCATTAAGACTTTCGGGCAATGATAAAATGCTACCGTAAGGATCAGCTGCTATTATGCGACATTTATCTCCAAGTACTTGTTTCAACTTTCTGCCAATGCCTGTGATTGTGCCACCTGTACCGGTACCAGCCACTACTGCATCAACATTATAGTTTGTTTGTTCTAATATTTCTTGGCCAGTCCCATCAAAATGTGCCAGAGGATTATATTTATTGCGATACTAAAAAATAAAAATAATAATAAAAATAAAAATAAAAAATAACAGTCATTAATTAATAATAAATAAAACTTGACAAATTGTTTTACCTGATCAAGTATTATAGTATTTTCAGGATCTTCCAAGTGTAACCTATGTGCTACACGTATCAAACCATCTAGTTCATTAAATGCAGCTGTTGTAGGTGTACGTACAATTTTTGCACCCAATAATCGTAGAGCATCTACCTTTTCACGAGACATTTTCATTGGCATTACTACTGTACAGTTATATCCTTTAACCGCAGCAGCCATGGCCAACCCAATTCCTAGAATAAAATATCAGTAAGTGCATTCATAAAAAAAAAATTTAAAAGTACTAAATTATCAAATACCTGTGTTTCCTGATGATGGCTCAATTATTGTAATTCCAGGTTTCAGCAATCCTTGACGTTCAGCATCTTCAACCATTTTCCATCCAATTCTATCTTTAGTACTACCACCCGGATTCAAAAATTCACATTTAGCCACTAAATTTTTTTTTGTAATTATTAAAATAAAAGACATTAATTAAGATACATTATGTATTATATTTTATATAAATATTTACAAATCTCGCATTCAATGCCCTCTGCTTGAGGTATTCGATTCAACTTCACTAAAGGTGTATTGCCAATTGCATGCAATATGTTAGGTAAAATTTCATTTTTATTATTTCTAAAAATGCATACAACTGTTAAAGTGCGAACACGAAATCATGAATAATATTGTGCTTACAAGTTTCCATTGTGAATATGAGGTGATTCTTCAAAACACGATTTTTTTGTCCATGTACACCGACTATCTTTATCTGGCCTGAACTTCGTAAAATGTGCATCTAAATCGTAACCATTACAATCGTTTTGGGTTTTCCCTTCATCAATCTTCGCCTTTTTCGCCAATACTACAGCTGAATCTGCCATCGTAATGCTACAATCAAAAATAAAACATAAAATTGTCAAATCCAATAAACAGCCAATTGTTATGATTATAATCAATTAGATACTCACTAATCACGTAAATAACTAAATTAAACAATTACACGTTTAATAGTATGGTTTTTTTTAATACGTAAATTACTAAATAGCAAATTAACGTATTATAAAATACTAATCAATGAACAGAGTAACGGACCACGTTTTAATGACTGCAATTATTATTCATTTACAGATAACCTCTTGCTGGCTGCCGCCGTAGATAAACGAAGATGAAGCGCCGAGCACCGAACACTGAACAGTTTAATGCACAAGTATACAACCGTGGCATGCCGCCGACCAACAGGCAACAAATATTGTTATGATAATAAGTTGATAATATTTAGGTAACCTGTACGTTCTCGTTATCTCGTGCGTTCATGTATTTATTTACAGATTACAGAGTGAACGATTTGATATCAGACAAAAATATGTTAATGGTGAACTAACGAGTTATGAGTATTGGCTATGATTGTCTTTTGAGCCATTGGATTATATTTTAATATCAACACTGTACATAGATTAAGTATGTACACATTACATCATGCTTTGTACAGTATTTACATTGGTATACTTACTTACTTACTTACTTACTTATTAGTCTTTTTATTTAATAGGTATTTACATTATTTTTACAAAAACGAGAACTTGTATTTCGTAAGATATATAGTATTATACATTTATACACATCGATATCTAGGTCCTACACAGTATATAAATAATACCTTAAACGAACAAATATATTTATAATTTATAGACGATATTATTTTACTAACAACAGTCAATAGATTACAACAGACGTGTACCTAGCATTTAAATAAGCACTTTTACTAAACTAGTACCTAATCAATAGTCAATCAAGTATTTGATCTGAAGAAATATATTTAAAATTAAAATAATAAAATACTCTAACAACTCGTTAGTAATTTGTACAATACTTTGTAAAATAATTTACTATATTTTTTTGTTATTTTTTAAATTTTTTATAATAATATATATTTTTATTTTTTTTACTTCAAACTAGAAAATTTGTTTTAGAATATCTAATTTAATATTTAAAAACTAAATTTTGGAAAACTTGTTTATGAATGATAAATGTATAGTTGGTACCTATGCGATAGTATTTAGCTTGATGATCGGAGTAAAACAGCTAAGGATTCTCTAAAAAATTACTTAACTAGGTATATTCCGCTCATCTAAACTTAAAATTTAAATACTTATAAGTTATAACTAATTGACTTCTAGCTACTCCTTCAAAATTTGACTTTTATAATAAAGGTATCAAAATTCATAAAGTAATATTCTCATAATTTTGCTTCAGAATATGAAATAAAATATACAACAGTAAGAAACTTAAAAAATAAAAATATTGTTTAGTTGTAAGTAACAATTTAAACAATTTCTGAAAAATATTACAAAAATATTTTTCGTTTAAAATAATAAAAGTTCTTTTATAAATGAATCACTCTGTGTACTGTGTACTATGTAGTATGTACGTTACATTAGTATGGCCAACAGTAGATAAAATTCAATATTTTTTCTTTATCTATTTTCTCAATTTCTCAACTAATATCAAACAGGTAATTCAACCTTAATTTTACAAACACGCCACCTGATTATTATTTATCTATTCTACTTATTGATATAATTTTAATATAATATAGTACGTAATATAGGTATGAGTATGAGATACGTGTATTCACAAATCTATACCAGCGTAACCACTAAACCCACTTACCCACTGTTATTTGTTAATAAAATAAAATAAAAATTGTATATTATGTAGTTCGTGGCTGTCCATTAACATGTAAAAAATATTAATAAATCTTTCTAAAAATTTAGTTAAGGTAATAAAATACGTTATGCTGGCACCTATCTACTCTCACACTGTGACTGCAGTGTACTTATTTATTATTGTTCATGTATTGCTAAATTGGATATCAATAGATTATTTCTGATTTATTTTAAAATTGTAAATTGGTAGGTACCTAAACTAACCTATATAACCCTTAAACCATAGGAATACAACTAATAACTATATATAGAGATAAGTTTAACTACTAAATATATTAATTAGATTTGAATTTCAAATTGTTTATGAAAAAATTAAAATGCAAATGAACTAAATAAATTGGTGTAATAAGAAAATAAAATCTGTACTCTGTAGATACCTATACTTATACTATACTAAAAGAATACTACCAAATATCACCATCCTAATGGCTGTATAAAACTTTCATAATCTGATGTAAAATATAAATCTTATATTACCTATAAGCATTCAATAAAATAAAATATTGACAACAATATTATTAAATTATTGTGCATTTTCAACATAGAATAAAATTGCAGAAAGTTATAAAAATTCAGGATCTTACAAATGTTTAACTAAGTACATTTCATCATTTTTGCATATCTAGGTACTCAAACTACCTAAAACTTAAAAGATGATGTAATTATAGTGTTTATTTTACGATATGTTTTTACAATATAACTATTTTTAGTAAGTATGTAGTTAAAACCGTTTGTAAATGGACAAAAAATAATTCTTTGGTAGCCGATAGGTAGTTAGATAGGTACTTTAATACTTATTATGAATTATATTTATTTAATATTCAGCTCATTCAAGAATTATCATTTTTTTCTTTATCTCGTGTATGTTAATTGTTAATATGATATTCTAGCAAAAATTATTATTTATTATACAATTTGTATAAATATGTTTCGACTACTAATTTATAATCTTAATATGTTTTAATAATTTTTCATTTATCATCTACAGTAATTGGATACCTGTTTATGGTTCGTGATTCAAATCAAAACACACTAAATTCTAGAAATTTCACACTAAAATTATCTAATATGTATCTATCTATAAAATAATTATTTACTTTCCAAAATTAAATTCAACATAAATATAGAATCAAAAGATTTTTTGTAAAGTATATAAACTATTAAACAACTACATATTGTAACATGAAAAGATGACGCAGTGGTTAAAATTGTTTTTAAAAGTTTGAATGGTACCTACTTTAAAACGGAAAAAATTAAAAATTTTAAGCTAGATAAAAATGTAAAATAATTTTAAAAAATTGATATCTGTAGAGTACTAAGAACAAACTTATCAAAATAAGGATATTGTTGTTTTTAGTGATAAACGAAGTTTGTAATACCTATATTAATATAACTGTAAAGCGGTCAACTATTTTAATATATTTAATTTAAAATTCGATAAAATATTGTACTGTATGAACGGAGCTTAATAATAACATAACATACACATGTTAATCACTGTATTTAAATACTAGGTACTCTACAATACAACGATTATACTACTTTTAGTTTTTTTTACTATCATCGAATAAAAAAATGTTATGATCGGTTAAAAAGTTTGTATATTTAAAACAATCTAAATTACTCGCAATTTATCTTTAAGATAAATAAAAAATATTGAAAATTCATGGTCACTGTTTATTTTATACCTTCTATTTATAATTATAATGCAGTTTTCGAAATATTTAGATTATATTTAAATCAGTCCCGAAATACACGTGTCGAAAATTTCGGAGATAGCTGAAGACTGATAATTTAGTGTTTCATATAGCGTATACAATTTATAGAAATAACGATTATTGTTTAACGTCAAACGTTCCATATAGTGTGAACTTGTGTTGTTCCTGCATTTAAATTTAATAACTTACTGTGACTATTGTGTTGTAATAACGAATTTTTATTTTCTTACTTTTAAACTTAATTTACATAATTACATTATATACATTATGGCTCCAAAAAAAATCTGTCGAATATGTTTGGGAGGGGGGTATTATAAATTTATAATGTCCCGGCTTGTAATTTTTTATAAATTGCAACCCTACTCTATATGTATCATAATATCATATTGTATGTATACAATACTACAATATAAATAATATAATGAATTAACTTATAACAATTATACGTACCTATGACTATGTCCTATTCGCTATAGCCTGTAATAGTTAATATATTACATGAAATAATAATAATAATAATAATTTAATATATTATCTGATTATCATATTATAATGTATGCAATTGATTATTGGTAAAAAGTAAAAACTAATTTAAGCTACCACACGTATTAAAGATCACTAATATAAATAGATATATCACTAATAGTAATAACTAATAATGATTGTATACTTAATAACTTACAATAAAATAACTTTAATTCTTAGAAATTACATATTTAGATACAATTTTTAAGTGTTTAAAAAAAATCAAGCCTGTAAATTTAATGCAATATATCAATATATTATGTATTCAGGCACGTACCTACATAAGAGTTTTAGTGGTTCAATAACTCCCTAATCGCCATTCAACATCAGGAAAGCTCTTGAATATTGGAATATTCAATTTTAAGCCCCATCCAAAATATTATTTTTTTTGTGTATGTACGAGTCTATATCTCGATCGTTTTTAGTGTTTTTACTGAGTTACAGCAACCAATCAGTGTCAAAAATAACGATACCTATTACATTGGTACATGAGACATTAGGTATTATTTTAATATTATCTTATAGTATGCGGGCACACGTGTTCAAGGTTCAACTATCAATAAAAAATAAAATTTGGTTTTTGTCAATTTCTACTGTCTGTGTTAATTCAAAGTAGAAAACATACTACAAAAAAAAACAAAAATAATTATAAAATTATAAAATATGTAATATTATAAGAAAGTAATACTGTGCGTAATTTTTTCTATTAAGACTGTCACAAAAATAATAATCATATTATAATCGTTACATTATTATGAAGTACGTGCGGTACAATTAAATTGTTCCGTGATCATAATATGAGACAATCACTTAGATAATGAACCACTTAAAACACAGAAAAATAATTTGATTTTATAATACTAATTTGAATATCATAAATTATATATTTTAATATTAATCAAAGTATTTTTAATTTTTTTTATACTTTTATTCTTTTTTAAAGTAATAAATCGAAAACTGGTGGTAATATAGGTACTGGTATAGTGGTATAGACGGTGGTTAAAATTAAAAAAAGGAGTTGGTAGGTACTAAGTAGTA